AACTGACCTTGTTCAGCACCAGATGTGCTGTTTGACTAGACTCCAGTTCCAGGTTAAAGAAACAGCAAACAAACCAATTTCATCCTATTTTAACCACTGAAAACTCAACCAATTACTCACCTTCCCAGTTAAATAATCAACTTAGACAATATGACAGATGTTACATAATTAAATAAATTATATTGTTTTTTTTAATACATGACTAAAGGGATAAACTACCACGGTGACCAACGGCCAATTGGTTATCCAGTAAACGAAAAGAGATCAGAGGCTTCCATAAAGTGTATTTATTCAGTGGATTGCTGATAGCCCTGAAAAAGATATCGGTCGCCATATTGGTACTCCCCACACCCATGGAGACGTGCCATAAAATGCCTACGTGTGAAGCATTTGGCTTCAAAAATAAGCAGTTTCCTGGCTGCAGGAAGACGTTCCAAAGGTAATTTCCCAGTCAGTGGATGAACTAACAAATAAATCCATCTATACGCAGATGGATCCTAAGTATAGTTTGTAGCGTAACATTAGTCTGGCTATCTCAGACTAAGTGGAAGTTATTGACTGGGTTTGCCATCGACATTGTGTCTTATGTATGGGCATGTATCGCTTTAATCATCTACAACAACAACAACAAAAAACTATTTAAGGTGAGATCCCATACACTTCAAAAAACACCAAAAAGTAAGTAATTTCATTTTTTTTGGTACATGACTAAAGGGATACACGTACGCTGAGGTAGTTTGAAGTGTGTTTTTCGTACAAAACTAAAGGGATAAAGTCCAAGGGTGTAACTTTATAATGAAAGTTGGTGGAGACACGTTTGAGTGCAGATTAGACTTCCTGCACACATCAAATCTCACTTGGGTCTGGTTGTGAATCAGTTTTGCTGCTATGCGTCTGCCCAGTCTGGAATTTCTAGGGACGCACAGCAGTTTCCCGCCAAAGCGAAAGGGGGAGCCTATTCTAGAACTCGCGAGAACTTCACCGGCGCCGGCGGGAGAGTTTATTTTTTTAAAACAACAATGGCGCGTCTGCTAGATATCACGGAGATGGATCTAAAGTTGCTAGACATCGAAGAGGAACTAGTCCTGTTAATGAAGTTGGCAAAAAGAAAGACTGACCTTTCGTTGTAGCCGTTCCTCCAATGGACAACAGCCGGAAAGGCATACTAAGGACCAATCACAGCTGCTTTTTGGCTGCGCACTTCCGCTTCAGGTCTGCGCGGGTTTGCGACGGTCCGATGCGTATTCAGGGTTGTGAATCCGCATCGGACTTACAGTTACTCGACACAAACGCTTTCAATACAGTTTGTTCTTTCCAAAATTGAGCTCAAAGATATATTTATTGAACTCTTTTCCTATTGTTGAGAACACAAAAGCACCAAAATATATACCAATATTTATATTTATGGGTAGTTAAACATTAATGTGCATTAAAAAAAAAAGGATGAATGTCAATCATCATCATATCGTCGTCCACAGTCAATACCGGTTCATCTCTTTAGTTTAAAGCAAAGGAATAAACGGGTATTGACTGTGGGTGTGCTGGTCTCTCAGAGAACCGGGCTCCAGGGACAACCCTACCTAGAATGATCCTCCGGTCCTCTGGCGCCAGGCTGAGGTACCATCCCAGCATCGCGGTGTCCGTTAAGGCCAGACCACCCCTAGCTTCCACCAGCTCAAACAGAGACCTGAACGGAGACAAAAACTGCTTCACGTCTCATCATGAGGAGGAGGAGGCTCGGTGGTTTACCTCTGCAGGAGCTGCCTTCGCATCCACACCGTCTGTAGCCCGGGCGGCGGTGGAGGAAACATGGCGCCGCTGTCGCTGCCCGCAGGAACTGATCTGGGAGCGGATAGCTCCATTGGCCACACCGGCACACTCACAGCCAGGGGAGCGGACAGTAACCACACCCCGGTCGGCCTCACATCCCACACCCCGTCGGTAGACGGGAACATGGCTGACTCAAAAGAAAAGTCTAATTAACCCTGAACTTCAGAGCTCCACCTTTATGTCTTGGCGCTTTTTAAAAAATCTTCTTTTTTAAGATTTTTGGCGGTTGTCAAACAACTAATTGATGCATTTGCGCCATCTACTGGTATGGAGTGATACGGAAGAGGATTAGGGCCCCTGGAAAAAAAAAAAAAAGTTAACTGATTTTTTTAATTTTATTTCAGTATAGTATGGGAAAAAAGTCAGAATTCTGACTTTTTT